ATGGATTGTGATAAGAGTTGTATGAGCCCCTAATAAAACGATTAAAAAAGAGAGAGAGAGAGGCCCTGGTGGTGCGGAGGATTAAGCACTGGACTGCTAACCTGAGGTTCAGCACTCTGAGCCCATCAGAGGCACACTTTTGAAAGATGAGGCCTTTGGCTCCTGGACAGACTGACAGTGGGGGAAACGGCACAGTGCGGTTCTACTCTGCCCGCTAGGGTCACCCCAGTCAGCCTGACTTGAAAGCAGTGAGTGGTTTCCTTTGAAGGAAACACACAAGCTCTTGGTCCAGGGCCTCTTTCGGGGCTGTACTGATGCCGGCACAGTCTCTACACTTGGAGGGGAAGGAAAAAGAAAAAGATTTGCCGAGAGATAGATAAATAAATAAAGGCTCCTCAAGTGGCAGGGAGGGAGGGTGGAGACGGGAGGGCAGACGTTGATGTTCTTACCTGTGGGGTAGTGAGAGAACGGGGCAAATCCCCGCCCTCGCTCCCACCTCTCAGCACAAAAAAGAGCCGGCTTTGCTCGCCAGCCGGCTGTCGGGATCAGACGAGAAAGATGAAAGCCCCGGAGATCGATAATGGAGGAGGAAGAGGAGGAGGAGGAGAAGGAAGCGGGGCACGAACTGGGGAACCGTGAGCATCTATTTTCAAAGCACCGCCTATAACATCGGCTTCCTCAGAAGGGGACCCTGTGGGACCACCGCCCGCCTCCAACACATGCACACACCTAGCAGCGGGGGGAAGAGGGAACGAGGCGTTGGGGTTGCCTCTCTCCAACAGAACTTGGGGTCGGGATCTACCTTGCAATGCCCTCTTCTCCTAGGAGCCAGCAGATCCCCGGGAAAACCCAGGCTGGCCGGAGACCCCTCCTCTCCTTGCCGAAGGCCGCCCTGCCCTTCCGACCCACCCCACCCGCGGGGCTCCCAGATCCGTGTTTCCTGTTTTCAAAACTAGACGGCTCGTTGGCCTGACCGCTGGCAGGGGCTAGTTCCACCGCCGCCGCCTTGGGCCCTGTGCCGCCCTCGGGCGCACCCGCGACGTGGCCAGTCCGACTCCGGCCCTTCCAGAGGTCCGGCGGGCCCCCGG